ATATATAAATTATTATTTCTTAATCATTATAATATAATTATCCCCCAACGTATCCCGTGAGGCCGGGTGAATAACGATGGTCATTCGCAAGTTGCGAAGGTCACACGTAGAAGGCAGCCGATTCTCCAGGTAACCGCCAGGGGTCTCGCCACGGCCAACTATTGGGTTGTCCGGAAAATAATGCAGGATTTTGGTATTAAACAAAAAAAAAGAAACTAGTTACTTTAAAGCAATGTTCTTTAATCAAAATAATTTCCCATACTCTCAATACATTTCTCCCAACGTGTTGGTAACTTATTAATTCCGTCTGAGTAGAATTCAGAATTTTTAGAATTGATAAAGTCAATAAATGCATTTTCCAGTTCCGTTTGATTTTTGAATATTATGTGTTGTAAGTAGTGGTCCAGGTGTCTAAAAAAATGGTAGTCAGTAGGCGAGAGGTCCGGAGAGTAGGGTGGGTGAGGCAAAGTTTCATAGCCAAGCTCCAATAATTTTTGTGACGTTACACGTGACACATGTGGTCGAGCGTTGTCATGCAACAAAATGGGCCCTTTCCGATTGACCAAAGAGGGCTTCATTACTGCCAATTTCTGATGCATGGTATTAATTTGGTTACAGTATGATTCAGCATTGATGGTTTCGCCAGGATTTAAGAAGCTGTAGTGTATTAAACCAAATGAAGCCCACCATACCGTAACCATTACCTTTTTTTGATGAGTTGGGGGCTTTGGAGCTTCTCCTTTGTCGAGCCACTGTCCAGAACGTCTAGTGTTATCGTAGAGAATCCACTTTTCGTCACATGTAACAATTCTGGCCAGAAATGGGTCATTTTTGTTTCGACAAAGAAGTGATGCACAAACATCAAAGCGCTGATTTTTTTGGCGATCGTTTAATGAGTGTGGAACCCAATTTTCGAGTTTTTTCACTTTTCCAATCGCCTTGAGGTGGTCAGCGACGGTCGTTTTACTGACTTTGAGTTGCTCTGCAAGTTCTCGAACAGTTGTTTTGGGGTTTTCTTCCACCACTGATCGCAGAACATCATCATTAAGAGAGGAAGGCCTTCCACGACCTTCTTCATCTTCAAGGCTGAAATCTCCCTCCCGAAATTTTTTAAACCACCTTTGCACAGTGCACTCATTAACACAACCCTCGCCCCAGACTTGGTTAATGTTTCTAGCCGTTTGGGCTCCGCTTCGGCCGAGTTTAAACTCGTAAAAGAAAATCGTACGAAATTCTCGCTTTGACATTATAAGGATGACTGAATTATTTCCAAGTAGCGGAATGCTACAGAGGTAAACAAACAATATCATTTGGAAGAGGATTAATAAGTGTTGACATTCATACAAATGAGTAATCCTGTAAACGTAAACAGAATATTTTATATAGATTTTTTTTAATGAAAACTTAAAATCCTGCATTATTTTCCGGACAACCCGATACAAGCCCATTCCCATTGGAACATTTCTGTTACCCCGTAGTACAGATGGTTATGCACCCTCACCTGTCTATACATACAGGATCTGGTGCCCTAACCCTCGTGTGCCTCTGATAAGGCACCCGCCGCCACATACCGACCCGAGGCCGACACGAGAACAGCTTGTGCTTTAGAGAGGTTGCCATGCCTTCAGGGCTACACCATTATTTTGCGCCCGGACACCCCCCTTGTAGGCAAGGGTTGGAAGGGGTTCACAGGAAACAATGAAGGTACATGGTGTGAGAAAGGGACATTGATGAGGACACGAGGTATACCTTTCTTGGGCCCCGAGCCTTAACCACATTGTACCACCCGTCGTCGTCGTAGTTCATTATTAAGTGGGCCTCGACTCCCTGGGTGGATACCTCAGCTGGGCAGAGGAACAATGGAGAAGTGTCTTTTTCTCAAATGAATCCCGTTTCTGACTTCGGTCGCCAGACGAATGGGAAATTGTATAGAGATGGCCGAGAGAAAGATTTCCTTTTGCAATTTTTCCTTTAGGGTCTCCTTCCAAGGTGCTATCTTCCATGAAAGATTTTGAGAGAGACTAGAGATCTTGTTAGAAACCCATATTTTTCTTACATTTCGCAAATATTTTTTCTAGATCTTATTAGCAGAAATTGGCAGGAACCATACGCTTTCAAATTTGATTATACTTTTAACACCCACACTATAAAATAAAATAAACCTCCTACTCTCGTAGTTCAGACAAATAAGGAAAAAACCACTTCAGATATCACTCATTACATGAAACAGAACTCTGCATTTAGACTATACATTATTTGATGTGTACAAACTAGCATAGTTGACGTTTTCATTTCCTCTGAAGAAGAATCAAACAGCACAAGAAATAAAGCATGGTCTAGAATGATTTTAAATATCAAATAGTCTGTCTAAGCCGTCTCACTGAAGAAGGCTGAAAAGTGATAAGGCCCAAGAAAATTATCTTAGACGATCTGTTTCACTGTCTCATGATTTACTTATTCCAATACGTTTTCTACGTGTTTTAGTTTAACAAATGTGCTATAATAATCGTAATAAACACGAAATTAAAAACGATTAAAGCTGTGAGGAAAAATAAAACATACGAAAGAATGAAACACGTTCTAATTACCTGAAACTGTGCTAATTAAAACCAATTGGACTGGAATAATAAACTGTAATATGAGTCATTCGAATCGAAACAGTATTACCTAAGCATCGCGAAAAGGTTAATTTAATTTTTTAGCTTCAAACTAATTGGAAAACAAGGAGGAATCCGATTGACCTGTGACATTTCCCCCATTATCTCCGACGCTTCTTATCCCGCACAACCTTTTTCTATGTTATGGCAGTTATGACACAATGAGTGTGCAGTCGCATATAACATCGGCCGGTTGATCTGCGATAAATCCTGGACTTTATTTAAACGTACGCCCACCTTGCGCGCTCCAGAAAAATAAATACCCTTTGTCAAAGTTTGCGACAAAGGAGAAAAGAATCGTACACCACTTCTGAGTTTTCAAAGATTATTTTACGAGGTGGCAATATTGCAAATAATTATGTAGCCGACTTTTCATTCTTAGAGATTCATTTTGTTATTTAAGCACCTTTGTACAATCATATTCTACATATTTAGATTATTCCTTTTTTTTAAGGTTTATTATATTTTAACTCCATATTCAAAAATTAGCGGTTTTTATTATTTTTTGCTTCGAAGGCAACAGCCGGAGGTAGTAAATCTGAACGCGGATAAAGGCTATTACATTCCTGACGAACCAATTACCTTTTCATCATCTTTTTACAAAATCTATATTTCATAGTTTTGTCGTTCTGATCTATATTCAAAGCCAAAGGAGTGATTTAGGGCAAAAACTTGACTTAAACGAAACATAAAAGCCGTTGGATTGTCGATAGAAAAAGTCGGATTAAGAGACGGGCGGTTAACAACATTTCATAATAATTGAGCCATTTCGACTAAGCCATGGCCGATCGGCTTACTCTGATTACATTTTACAAGCAGTTACCTCCACAGTGCTGTTGCAACGTCAATATTTTGCTGTCACGTCAATTTATTTCAAGCCCAACCCTTACTCCATTTTACGGGGACAGTTGATTTATATATTTTCATTTGGTTTCAACGTTGACCTGTCTAATTAAAAGTCAGGTCTCGTTTTGAACTAATTAACATTTGAATTACCTCGACAAACGACACTTCAATCTTTAAATAAAAATCAGAGCTAACGAGAGGCGCATTTGTTGCACTCGGCCATGATTCATTATTAATCATATCACTAATATTAACAGACGTTTTCGAAAAACCTTCAAGACATGCAATCTTTATAATTGCAATACTAGATAGTTTATTTTAAAAAGTTTAATACATTCACTGAGGTGGCCGATTTGTCAAGACACCCCCCCCCAGATGAGGAAATGTTTACAGATTTGAAACCTATTTGGGTTCATAAATGGCCCTTAATGAAAATATAACTTAATCATTTTGGTAGTTTTTGGGTACTTCGATCTGGGACGATGTCTTTCTATGGAAAAGGTCAGAATTAGGTATCCCAAAATATTACGTTTAACATATTATCTATTTTGGAGAAAAATTATACAAGGTTCTCTGTTCAACTTCAAAATTTCAAATACGACTCTGTAGATCCTGGATTTTTAAGCTGACAAAATGGTAAAATCGGTTTTTAAATTGGAAAAAAAATTAATAAGTTAATAGAAATGATAAATGATGAAGTGAGTGTGGTGTTCAATACTTTTTAAAAGGATAGTTCCTACTCACAGTAAGTTGTTTTGCAACGATCCGGATTTCGAGCCTTTTTGCTCATCATCAGGTTGAAGGACTTCTACAACCTGATGATGAGCTAAAAGGCTCGAAATCCTGATCGTTGCAAAACAACTTACTGTGAGTAGGAACTATCCTTTTAAAAAGTATTAATAGGTCATGGCAAAAAGGAACCGGCAGCGGAATTTCGACGAAGAGCTGAATATGTTAATGTGTGTTATGTTACTGGCATACTAAACCATTTTCGAACGTGGGCAGAGGAAAATCCTAGAATTTCATACTCTTGTCATCATCAGGTGGTTCACAGTATCACCGTTTGGTGTGGACCATTTGGAAATAAATTAATTGGGCCTTATTTCTACGAAAATAATTTAAATGGTGCTGAGTTCCTCAATTTTTCAATGAAGTTGAAAACTATCTTACTCTGCAACAACGACAAAAAAAATGATTCTACAACTTGATGGATGCCCCGTCCTGAAGATGTCCCGAATGAAGGTCGAAATGTTGGTAAAAAATAAAAAAAGTGTTTTTCGTAACTACCTCATTCTTGACTTCTCCTCTCGACTTCAACTAATTATCCTTTAAAATGATGTGTCAGGATGTGTAGGGTCATATTTGAAGTTTTGAAGTTGAACTGGGCCTGAGTTACTCTGTACAATTTTTCTCCAAAAAAGGTAGAAATTGGAAACTTGACTAAAATATATTAAACACGTATTTTTTGTTTTTTTGGTAGTGTCTTTGGTTCAAGAGAAATTCAGCCAGGCTATCTATAAAGGACACCCTGGATATTTCAAATATTGAAACGTTAATTACGGTAAGTTGTAAGTTGGCCGATTTGTCAAGACACCCCTCCCCCCAGATGAGGAAATGTTTACAGATTTGAAACCTATTTGGGTTCCTAAATGGCCCTTAATGAAAATATAACTTAAACATTTTTGTAGTTTTTGGGTACTTCGATCTGGGACGACGTCTTTCTATGGAAAAAGCCAGATTAGACATCCCAAAATATTACGGTTACCTTCTTTATATTCCCTTACGTCCGCTCGGTTATTATGAACAAATTTGCTGATAGATAATTCTACTTACAAACCTTTAAAATTTTAATTTATTAATTTTTTTATTTAAAAATAGAGTGGTATAATATAAATGAATAAAAACGGAAATTTACTTGAAATATACAATTATTTTATTATTAATTTCACTAGTTTCGTGGTCCGCTTGACCAATTAATATCATACAATTAATTAAGGTTTTTAGTTGAGATAAAAAAGTCTATGGCACGAGCGGGATTCGAACCCACGATCTTCGGCTTGATATGCCGCTGCTCTACCATTTGAGCTATCGTGACCTCGATCCACTCGGACACCAACCTCCCATCTCAAATTCAAAAGGTGTGGTTGAGGTCACGATAGCTAAAGTGTTTTTTTTGTTTTTTGTTTTTTTGGGTTGGTTTTTTTACGAGGGTTAGCAACAGCAGAGGTTATATAAACCTTCGGAGTGCCAGTGTTTTTGAAAAAAAAAAAACATTTGTTAGTATGTCTAAGGGCCTGAAATATTTATGATTTCTGGCTGAATCAGCTAAATTTGAGAGAACACCTAATTTGTGTAATAGTAACACACTACTACTAGACCAATCAGCTGATCGCAATGAAAATATATGTAGATTTAATTTTAATGCAAATAGTTCGCTAAGATAGGCTAAACCCGCAATGTTGTTAAGTCGTGCAGAACTGTTGCCCTGTAGCGTTGTTTGCGACAGCAGAGAGATTAACATTATTTTGCTCTTTAAAACCTCAGGGTGCAGGTGTCTTTGAAAAAAAGCCCATTTGTATGTCGGGTTCGAATGCAGGGCCGCTGGATTCGAACCCGGGACCTTTACCTTACAGTGATGAGCGCCGTGTCAACGCCTAAACCGTTTCGGCCACCGACGCCCCCTGCTTTCTTATTGCTGTTCATTTTGGTTAATTATATATAATTTCAAATCATAACGCTGAATAATCTTCATTGTGATGTGACGTTTATGTTTTTCTATCCTTCATTTTAATTATCTTGCCAAATATATTTAAAATTTTTCTGAAATTGTTTTTTCTTGCGACGGTACAGTCTGAACCATTTTATAAAATGAAATTGTTTTTGTTTTTATTTTACACTGATTCAATTTATCTGGTTTAAAATTGAATCCGTTATATTGCTACATTAGTTACAGGTAATTGGGAGCTATCGTATCCAAAATAAACAGCAAATAATGCTTTGTTTAATTATTTTGTTTACTTTTGTACTGATTAATCCTATTTGCAAAAAAGTAGCATTATGTCTTTTGATTCTGCTACGCCTAAAGATCGCTTTCAATTAATATCTTTCCTTCCTCTTCTTCTTCTTATTTTTTTCATTGGATATTATTCTTAACTTTATACCTTTTTCGATAGCTCCAGTCAGGTATTTGAGTGAGCATGACAGTGTCAGAGTGATAAAATTATTAGAGGAAGGATACAGACAGCGCGAAGTAGCATGACTGAGTACTCTACAACATAAAGAATTATTCGGTGCTTCAGAGAAAAAGAGCTTCCTTCACAAGACCTAACACCCTAAAATAGTTGGAAACCGCTGTTCTTGGCGAATGGGGAAAAATCTTTTTTTTGCATATTTATTTGCATTTGAATTAGATAATAAACATTTTCTGTCTCATCTTTACAAACAAACCTATTTTTGCGTCGCAAAATATGAATAAACCTCTATACATTGAAGAGAGGTACGTTAATTTTGCCATCGGTGTATTTAAACACCCCTCTTTTCTCTGTATCAACTTCCGCGTATATGGCCAGGGATAAGTGTCAGACGTAGAAAAGACAGGATTCAGGCAACAAGTGACCTGTGGTGAAAACTAGGATTAAACCCTTGTTAAGCGACAAGGGGTTGGATTTTGGTCGACCTTGATGGGACACCAGTGTTGTGAGAGGGCTTTGCCAGACGAAGGTGAGCAAAACGGGGGTGGACTTGAACACTTTGTCAAGTATTCAAGTCATACACCTCCCCATGACGTTTATATAATTCCCAAGCAAAAATTAATCGTCCAGGTAAATGCCATGATTAATTGAAGTTGTGTCCCCCCGGACAACAAAATCAAGGAAATAAGAACACAAAAATATACAAGTAATGGCTAAACAGGAAGGATTTTAAACTTATTTCGAAATAATGATCCCGCGCAAACAAAACACGAATACGGAAGAAGAATAAATAAATGAGGAGGGAATAGAGAAGGGCGAACAACTTTTGCGATAGACTCACAAAGAAGAAAATACATTATTGATGGAAAGAGAAATATTATAGAAAAGGGAGATAATGAATGTAAGATAGCGAGAGGAAGAGGAATTAGACGTAGAAAGAACAGAACGAAAATTTACTGCTAATATAGAATGTAGAATAGATGAAAACTAGAAAGAAAGTCGATGTGAGACAGCCAGAGAGATAAGAATTTGAGTAAGGTAGAAAAGTGGATTCAATAAAAGAGAAAAGGAAAGGCAAGAAACTTAAAAAATATATAAATAAAACACATGTACAAAGAACACATTTGATCATTTGGGTTCTGTGGCATAAAATCAATTTGAGCATGAATAAAATGTCCGATTTTATAGTATCAGAAATTCAGAGAGGATATAGCGGTTGTTTTTAGTTCCAATTGTTTATATATTATAATTAAGCAGTTATTAAACCTCCACATTTCTTTATAATGATGAGCTCTCCAATCTATTACACACGTTTTAGTATACCTCCACATATAAACATGGAAACTCGCAATTTTCGTGTAATATTACTTTACGAGTTTAAACTCGGTCATTCAGCAACTGAGGCTGCAAGAAACATCAGTAAAGTGTTTGAGGCAGGGAGTGTAAATGAACGGACTATTTGCCGTTGGTTTGCTAAATTTTCGGAAAGGAATTCCGAATTGGAAAATGAGCCCAGCGGAACACCTCCGAACTTCATTGACAACGAATGTCCTTAAGCTCAAAGGATTCCCAGGATGACTGAATGCATGTGCAGCTACAGTGTTGAGACAATCAAGGAACCTAGGAAAAGTCAGAAAGCCTTGAGACATGCGTTTTGTTGCTCGCCGACCCTTTTCTTGAAATAATAATCACTTGTGATGAAAAATGGATTGCGTAGGACGATCAGCGTTGGTCACGGCAGTGGTTAAACATCGACGAAAGACCAGGACCCTAAAAAATTGATGGTGACCGAATAGTGGTCCATGGCTGGAATTATGCACTACTGATTTTTTGATAGAGGTGAGACCTTTACATAGTACTGCAAGGAAATTGGCAAAATGAATAAAAAATTACTGAAAAAAACAGCCTGCATTGGTATATCGGAAATATTCCTCCAAGACTACGCCGGGCCTCATGTTTCAAAACATATTGTAAACAAATTGAAAAACCTTGGCTTTGAGGTTCTTCAGCATTCACATTATTCTCGAGACTTGTACCTGCAAACTTTTAGACTTTGAAAATAATGTTTAAGTCTAATAGTCGTTTTCACATTTTGTTTTGTTTCAAAGCTAAGAATTCTTCAGTTGCGGCAAAAAAACGTTAGAAAACTGTGTAGAAAATTAAGTTAAATACTTCGAAAAAAAGGATTTTATTTTTATGCAGAGAGAGAGAAGAGAAAGGGGAGAGAGAAGAAGAGGAAAAAGTAAAAAGATAGAGAGGAAATAGAGGCAAACAGATATACAGACAGAAAGTATATAAATAAACATTTCGAAATAGATTTGTCTATACATATTTGCATTTCGTACATAAAAGATACTTCACAATTTTAACGTACTTTTCACAGGGTTCTAAATTTTATATGAATGATCCACAATTGGTATTTTTTAAATGATTAAATTCAGTTAATTTTAATTAATTAAGTCATGATGAAAAGGATATAATTCTCAAAGCCACGACGTAAGAACTGAATATTTTTGTTAGACTTTTATTTTTTGTTTTCCTACAGACAATGTAGGGGCCTTCATTTATACTTTGTTCTTGCTTAAGGTGAAATTCTGTAAGCTCGTTATTTGACCTTATTTCCGAGAATAGCAGATCAAAATGATAGGATCACACTTATTTTCAGATTTAGAATGCTATATCTACCTAATAAAAATTAAAATTGATATGGATGACTTTCCAATAGTAACTTTGAATGTAGTTGTTGGTTGAAACTTTAATGATAGGTGTTGGGTGAGGTTTTTTTCTTTGAAGGAATAAAAAATGGAATTGTTGGGCGAAGACGTTTCTGTTTTAATTAAAAAATCCATAAAGCTTAATGTGGAACAAGCTGCAGATTAAAGAGAGACAAAAATGAGTGGTGGCTCCAGGGGTGTACTTTCGTAAGCACTTGTCCTATTACGAAGTCTTTAAGAGGTTTAGCCATTACACCTCTTTCCCGCCCCCGAGCCTCACCCGATCCGTAACAGGCCGGAGACCCCGGCCGGCTCATGGACTCCGCCAGTCCCGGAGAATAAGAAATAAACCCTTAATCTCGGAGTTGTTTTCTCTCCTCGGCTTCCGAGGATATAAAGCTGGGTGCTTTTACGAGATTTTCAACCTCCCTTCCCTCGGCCGCTCGCCCGGATTAAAATTGACAAAAAGACCTAGTGATTTACCGAAATGTTTACGCTTACAGCTTTGTCCGACAAATTATCTTTTGAGAAACATTGTCTTAAGCCCGAAACACCACAACAAAAGTGGTTTTACTCTTCAAAACAACAATAACAATTAACATATTTTGTCTTTTGTCAAGTCGGTTGTTTTTGCGTTCAAAAAATGTTTTATCTTT